CCTCTAGAATTTCTGAGTGATCAAGACAAAAATCACTTCAGGAATAGGGACTCCAACAAGCAGACCGAGCAAGAGTAACCTCGGCACATCATTAACATGATCATTAGTGAAGTTGGCATCGCCCAAGGGCTAATGCTAAAGCGCACTAAGGTGTCCATTACAAGGGAAAAATGAACCCAAGATTATGTGTCGGAGGGGACCATCTCTTTTAACGATGAAGATGTTGAAGGCATCGTGCAGCCACATAACGATGCCCTAGTAATTTTTCTACTCATAAATAAATTTCGAGTTAAGTGTGTGTTAATTGACCCAGGTGGCTTAGCCAGTATCATCAGATCGAGGGTCGTAGAGCAGTTGGATCTACAAAACCAAATAGTGCTAGCGGTCCAAGTCTTAAACGGATTCAACATGGCATGAGAGACTATTAAAAGGAAGATAACCCTGCCAGTAAACACCACTGGAACTATTCAGGAGACGAAGTTATACATCATCGAGGGGGATATGAGGTATAACGCTCTATTCGGAAGGCCATGGATTCACAACATGAGGGCAATACCCTCGACTCTACACCAGGCATTGAAGTTCCCTACACCAAGAAGGATCAAAACAGTTTACTGAGAATAGCTAACCGCAAAGGAAATGTTCGAGGTCGATGAGGTGATCCCAGTGTCCTAGCTCTCGACATCGAAGAACTTGGAGTTGGTTAGGAAGAAAGAAACTAAATATCAATCACCAGCACCGGTGCCGACGAATTATAAGAGCAAAAAGCAAGCGAGGATGATGATTACAAAATTCCCAGGTCGTTCATCACCCCTGACAATTCTGAGTCCACCAAGTCATCGGTTGAGGAGCTGGAGCAAGTCATATTGATCGAACACTTGCCTGATCGGAAGGTATACCTAGGCACGCAGTTAATTCCCGAGCTTAAGAAAAAAATCATTGAATTCCTTAAAGCTAACATAGATTGTTTCTCTTGGTCCCATCTTGATATGACAGGGATCCCGCTAGAAATAACTACCCACAAGATGAGCTTGGATCCGAATTTCACCCGGTTAAGTGGAAGAGGAGGCCTCAGTCCGAAGTCAAACATGCATTCATCAAAGATGAAGTATCCAAACTCCTTAAAATAGGTTCCATTCAGGAAGTTAAGTATCCGGACTAGTTAGCTAATGTAGTGGTAGTGCCTAAAAAGGGAAATAAATTAAGAATATGTGTGGATTACAAAAACTTGAACAAGGCATGCCCTAAGGACTCTTTTCCTTTGCCTAACATCGATCGCATGATCGATGCAACAGCCGGCCACGAGATACTCAGTTTTCTCGATGCCTACTTCGGGTACAACCAAATCCGGATGGACCCGGACGATCAAGAAAAGACTTCCTTCATCACTAAATGTGACACCTATTGTTAAAATGTAATGTAGTTTGGACTAAACAATGCTGGTGCCACCTACCAACGCATAGTAAACTGGAGGTTCGAAGAACAAATAGGAAAATCAATGGAGGTTTACATTGACGACATGTTAATTAAGTCCCTGCGAGCAGACGACCATTTGGAACATTTGCAGGAAACCTTCAACATACTGAGGAAATACAATATGAAGTTGAACCCGAAGAAATGCGCATTCGGAGTCTGGTCCAAGAAGTTCCTCAAATTCATGGTATCCAACCAGGGAATCGAGATAAATCCCGGCAAAATCAAAGTTATAGAAGACATCACCATGGTGGACAATGTCAAGGTTGTTCAGAGGCTGACCAGGCATATAGCCGCCCTAGGTCAGTTCGTATCAAGATCCTCTGATAAGAGCCATTTGTTCTTCTCTTTATTGAAGAAAAAAATAACTTTTCATGGACCCCGGAGTTCTAGCAAGCTCTAGAAGAACTCAAACGGTACCTTTCGAGTCTACCTTTGCATCATACCCTGAAGGCAGATGAGTAGTTGTACCTGTACTTAGCAGTATCCATGATAGCAGTAACTGGAGTCTTATTCTGGGAAAAGGAAGGTACGCAATTTCCTATCTATTACGTTAGTAAGACCCTAGGCGAGGCTGAAACAAGGTATCCCCACCTGGAGAAATTGGTGCTCGCTTTGCTAATCCTTCAGGAAGTTAAAGCCATATTTTCAATGTCATCCCATATGTGTCGTAACTACTTACCCATTGAGGAACATAATGCATAAACCCGAGCTCTCAGGGCAATTGGCCAAATGGATCGTGGAAATTAGCGGGTACGATATCGAATATCAGCCCGAACCGCCATCAAATCTCAAATTTTGGTAGACTTCGTAGGCGAATTTATGCTGGCCTTAATACCCAAAGTCGAAAAGGAATTGTTGCTGACCTCGAGGATTTCCTCAGGAATTTGGACTTTTTTTATGGACGGTGCCTCGAACGCAAAAGGGTCTGGACTCGGGATGGTGTTGAAGCTGCCTATGGGTAACGTAGTTAGGCAATCTATTAGAATTGTAAAATTGACTAACAATGAGGCCGGGTATGAGGCCATGATTGCAGGTCTCAAACTGGCCAAAAGCCTGGGGGCCAAAGTCATCGAAGCTAAATGTGATTCCCTCCTTGTGGTAAATCAAGTCAATGGGACATTCAAAGTGAAAGAGGAACGAATGCGAAGATACTTGGATAAACTACAGGTAACGCTGCATCGATTCAAGGAATGGACCCTACAACACGTGCCCCGGGACCAAAACAGCGAGGCTGATGCTTTGACTAACTTGGGTTCATCGGTTGATGACGATGAATTCAGCTCGGGAACGGTCTTACAACTCATGAAATCAGTGGTGGAAGAAGGCCATGCCGAGATAAACTCAACAAGTTTAACTTGGGACTGGAGAAACAAGTATATAGACTATTTAAAGACCGGGAAGTTACCCTCAGATCCCAAAGAATCGAGATATCTGTGCACGAAGGTAGCCAGGTTTAGCCTGTCCGAAGATACTCTATTTAGAAGAACGCTAGATAGCCCACTCGCCATATGCTTGGGGCCGGGAGACACCGAATATGTTTTGAGGGAAGTTCACGAGGGCACCTGCGGAAACCATTTGGGGGAAGGATCGTTGGTTGGTAAGATAAATAGAGTCGGCTATTACTGGATCGACATGGAGAAAGATGTGAAGTCCTTTTCACGAAAATGTGACGGCTGTTAGAGGCACGCACCAATGATCCACCAACCCTCGAATTTGTGACACTCGGTCCTATCGCCCTGGCCGTTCATGAAATTGGGAATAGACATTGTCGGTCCCCTACCATGGGCACCCATTAAGGCTCAATTTATACTATTTATAACTGACTATTTGTCTATATGGGTCGAAGCTCAAGCGTTTGAAAAGTTCTGGGAAAAAGAAGTCATCAACTTTATTTGGACCATGTAATATGCCAGTTCAATATACCGACCGAGATAATATGTGATAACGAAAGTAGTTCATCGGCAGCAAGGTAAGAAAATTTTTCGAGGACTATAAGATCAAAAAGATCTTGTCAACACCCTATCACCCTAGTTGGAATGGATATGCGGAATCGATGCATAAGATGATCCTTCAAAACCTTAAGAAAAGGTTGACCGATGCCAAAGGAAAATGGAAGGAAATCCTGCTCGAAGTCTTGGGCATATCGCACGACCTCAAAATCGAGTACCCGGGCCACCCCGTTTTTGTTGGTCTACAGTGTCGATGCACTAATACTGGTCAGGGTGGGAGAACCGAGCCTCAAGTTATGATATGCAACTGAAGAATCAAATGGGAAGGCCATGATCATGAGCCTAGAACTATTGGATAAGAGGCACAAGGATGCTCTAGTCCGACTGGCCACCCAAAAGCAGCGGATAGAAAGATATTACAATCGAAGAGCCAACTTCCGACACTTCAACATCGGTGATTTGGTTTTAAGAAGAGAAACACAGAACACTCGGAATCCAAATAAAGGGAAGCTAGGACCGAACTGGGAAGGTCCATATCGAGTCATCGGGATTATCGGTAAGATTCGTATAAACTCGAAGCAGGAAACGGTGCACAGCTACCAAACAATTGGAACGTGACCCACTTAAAACGATACTACTACTAAGGTATGACCTCATTTACTTTTCTTTAATATTATGAATTGGACTAACACTTGCAGACTACAACCAATGGAGAATATGGCAATTAGGTCTAAAAGTGCACGTTACACTCTTTTTCCATCGAATCGGTTTTGTCTCAAATGGGTTTTCTGGCAAAGTTTTTAACGAGGCAACAGTAAATCGTGCTAACTTAGAATCAAAGACCAATTTTAAATCAGAGTCAATAGTTGCATCAACAGTATCTAAGTCCTCTCAAAGATCGACCTCGAATACTGGGGGGTCATCACCCTTGGGTCGTCATATTTAGCAAGGAAGGAAATTTTTTGTTAGAATAGTATAGGCTCGGTGGTTAGGATTTATTGTAAGGGCCAAACGGTCAAGTGAATCGTGCCCGCGTAAGCCACCTCAAGCTTAATACAAGCCTTTTTGCGCTCACAATCTTATATGTTACGTAAATAAATAAAATAAAGTTTCTACCTTGCATTTTTGCTTCTTAAAAGTATCCAGCCTAAGGGCTATTCCTACCCGAAAAGTATCGAGCCCAAGGTCCACTCTTATCCCATCCCAAAGGGCTACCCCCACTCGGGGACTACCGTCCAAGATAAGTTCATACGACTCGGGTTATCAAAACCCGGAGGCACAGAACCTATGAGGTTGTGCCTAAACATATAAGGCTACGGCCACCCTAAAAAATGGCTTGGAGACGTCCGAAGCCCGTAATCAAAACATAAGGCCTTCAACAAAATTCTAAACATGTTCAAAGGTTGCCCTCGGCAAAGATATAGTCTAAAAATATTTAAACAAGCATCTTAGGGAAAACATATGGTCACTTCGAGCTTCAATAAGCTCAAGAAAAAATTGCTTCAAGGACAAGTCTTATTCGGACCTTCAAAAAATGACTTATTACTACGTTCAAATTATGTGCTAAGGCATTAGAAAAATTTGCAATTGTAAAAAGATGCTGAAGATAATAGACTTGAAAATTGCCAAAAGAAAAAAAATGCATATTCCGGAATATCCTTACAAAGGCCTACCAAAAACGGCCTCGACAAAATATATGTACAAGATACAAAAAACAAAAACAAAAACAAAAATAACCCTAAGGCATCTACGCCTGATCTTCATCCCGACCCATCATCAGCACCGTCGGGGCCTTCAGATTCTTCAGAGCCCTCTTCATCTTCGGGATCAACTAGCTTCTTGGCCTTGACCTCAAGTTTTTTTGCCTCCTCGATCTCGGCAGATAGGTCGAAGCCTCGGGCATGGATCTCTTCGAGGGTCTTCCTCCGAGATAACCACTTCACGTACTCAGTAGTGGTCTTCAGGTGGGCCTCAGCTGCTTCGACATCGGCCCTATACTGGACCACCATCTCTTCAGCATGGGCAGAGGTTGTGCACATTTGAGCCTTTATAGCATCACATTTATTACCGAGGGCATCTCGCTCTGCCAAAGTCAAGCTCAATTGCGATCGAAGTTCATCGTTGAGCTGGACTGCTTATCGACTTTCTCTTTCACCACTCAAAATTGAACCTCTACCGATGCCAGCTGTGCCTGGGCAGTTTCCTTCTCTAAAGCCAGCCAATCCATTTTGCTCTTCCAAACATCGGCCATGGGTTGGACCTCATTCATTTTAGCTCGGAGTTGTTTGATCTGGTCAATCTTCTCCTGAACCTGCGAGGTTTGGTCGTTAGTTTCCATGGCTAAGTCTTCATTGCTAATCTCAAAAGCCTTTACCTTTTCGACCAGATCGACATATTCCCGCCTCAGGTTTGAATCCTCCCTCTGAGCCTCGTCCAGCTCGGCTTGAATGCCCTTGATGGCCCTTTCGTAGTTCTCGCTAAGGAGCTTGTACATATCTTTTTTCTCAGAAAGCTCCTTGACCTCAAGCTCGGGCTGGTTAACCTCAATCTAGTACTGAAGAAATCTTTCATGATGAAGTACCAAGGCCTGCAAAAGGGTAAAATAAATAAGATATGAGAAATATCAAGAATTAAGTCAAAGTTCGGAAAAATGTAATGATGCCTTACCCGATTCAGCGCCTGCTGCATCTCGTTGAATAGGCACGGCACGTCCACCTCATTCATTTTAGCCTGGTCTTCTTCGATCACTAGGTGTCGGAGGTAGATCGCTACTCCTACGGGAGCAGAAAGAAACCGGGCATTATCCGGGACATTGATGCTTATCGACCTCTTACGGCCGGGATCCACACTTGGGGCGGAGAACTGGTTGATTAACTTTGGGTTTGAGGTTAGCCCAACAACTTCTTAAGATAGATCTTTTCTCGGCACTTCCAGGTCACCCATCCCGGAAAAGTCCTCCAAGGAGGACGAGTCCATGCCATCAAAAAAGGAATGAAGGGGATCGTCCACGCCATGAGCCCCTTAGTTAGATTTCTCCTTCATTTCTTGGGCCTCCTCGAGCATAGACTCGGTATGGGAGGGCGTCCCTGAGATATCAATTACGACGGGCACTTCCTTTGGTGTAGAGCTGGCATCTAGGGAAGTTTCAACCCGGGGAACCGCATGGGCTTTCTGAGCTGGAGGGGGGTCGGCCTCATGAGTCTCCCCCTCGGATGCATCCCAGTCCCTGGTATAGATCATCTCATGGACTGCGGAGATAGAGTCATCCTCCGTCTCGTCCCTAAGTCGGAGGAGGGTATCAGAGGTAGGCACCCAAGAATTGGAGCCCCTCTCGGGCTTGCAGAGCACCCGCTTCTTTGATTTCTTCACCTAGGAGCCCGGGGAGCCCGAGGTTTTTCTTTTCCTCCGTGGTAGCAGTGGATGGATCAACAGACGGGGGCACATCTTCATCCCCTTCCGAAGGCCTAAGTTCAGTGGTCTTAGGCAAACCTGCATCAACAAAGAAGGAAGAAGAGTTAGCAAAATAAAGGGTGTAGGTATAGTGTTGGCTACTCAGAAAGAGGCTTTACCATGAGAACAGGCCTCCTATCGGCCCTTCGATAGTCTGCGCCATGTGCGCTTGAAGTAGGACATATGAGTGCAGATGCCCACAATCCACTCCTTTAACCGGGGGACCGCATTCGGAACCCGGGCAACAGCTGCATAGCCACAAACATGAATGAGAAGATAGAAATGAAATAAGAAGAAATTTTGATGTTGAAAGAAGGAGTTGTATTTACGAGATGAATTCCATTTCTCATGGAATGGCATGTATTTTGGGGGGATCAAATCCTCAGTCATCACTCGGACAAAATGTCCATGCCAGCCAGCCCTAGTCTCGGTCTTCATCGATACTGGAGAAAGGGGCCTTGCTGGCCCGATGTGTAAGCTTGATTAGTCCCCCTCGGAACATCTGGGGACTATATAATCGGAGCAGGTGGTCGATCGCGAATCGACAAGATTCGATCTTGTTCACGAAATATCGAAGGAGGGTCACGATCCTCCATAGTGATGGATGGATTTGCTCGAGTCACACCTTGTACCTCTTGCAAAAATCTTGGACGATCGGGTCCAGCTGGCCCAATGTGAAGGGATAATTATAAACACTTAAGTACCCATCCACATAGGTAGTGACGGCGTCCTCGGGCTCGGGGACTACTACATCCTTGCCTTCCTAATGGCAGTCCTTACGAACTATGAGAAGGAATGATCGACTCCAACCCTACACCACAATATAATGGCGAGGAGTGGTCGATACAGCTTTTACCCGAAAGGTCTGGATCGAATCCACAGAGAGTTAATATTGGATTGGAATCGGGTTTCTATCCAATCTAGCTATGTGTGTTGTTCTTAATTGCACTTCTAAACATGATTGGAGTTGTTTCTATTCTAATTTTAATGCTAAGAATTGCTGAAAATAAACTAAGTACAATATTTTTGAAAGGGTTTTCTGTAGTGATAAAAGGCACTAGGGAAGTAACTTACACCTAGGCGAGTATCTAATAGGATCTAAAATTTAGGACAAGCTTGTTATATTTGGGGTCGCGATATAACCTTTGCACATAGCTACTCACTATATACCTCTCGGTAGTTTGAGTGACTTTGCCCTAATTGGCTTTCTCAAGCCCAATTGGGTATTCAAACAATTCAAGAAAAATTGGCTCAAGTCGGGTATTACTATCTCTAGGTTTAACCCTTTAATTGGGGGTATCAATCTCTTGAGTGCACCCCAATTCCTTGTTAGCCTGAATTTTCTAGACTTAGGCCCTCTTTCTAAAGAGGAGCCTAAGTCACAAAGGCATGAATTAGTGTTTGCAACCACCAATTCTACAATTAAAGCATGAAACAAGCTAAATATCACTAACCCATAAACAAATAAGCCCTAAAATAGAAGACCCATAAAATACTCACACTAGGGTTGGGTCACAACCCTAGTTAATGGGTTTAGCTACTCATAATCAAGGAAGAAATCAAAGATGGAGATGAAATATAAGCCATAAAAAGTAATTACAAGAGTAAAATCTAAGATTAATTACTAAAGATGTTCTAATATTACTCAAAAAAGCAAAAACTGGTTGTTCACGGGCTCCACCAAACGACAGATGCCCTAAAAATCTGAAAAAGATCTATTTATACACAGCTGAAATTATGGAAGTTTCGCTGACAGCGTAAAATTGAGTGCCTCAGCGTTGGGACTTCCGCGGCCGCGTTAAAGCAAGCGCGGACCGCATTTCTTCTCTTTTGAGCTTGATCTGGACTTAATTCTGTTGGGAAAAAAATTAACCGCCTCAGCATAGTCTTCAACCGTGGCCGCGAATTACGTTCGCGAACTGCACTTTTCATTTGAGCCCAAATCGCCAGTCCTCTGATTCTAACTTTCGCCATCAGCGAAATATGGACCGTGGCCGCTTCAAGTAGTTCCACTGTCGTGCAATTTTACCGTGGGAAGTGGTGTCTGTTGAGCCCAAAAGTGCTTTCTCTGAACCTCAAACCGGTGAGAGCATAAATATGGTCGCCTCAACGGTTCAACTTCTGCGGCCGCAGTATTTCTTTGTTGTCAGCGCTTTTAGCTCAGCTTTGGACTTATGCAGGTTTCACTCCTTTATGAACTTGTTAGGACTTTCTTGCCTCATTTTGACCAAACACTGCAAACAAGCACAATAAGTTTGTTTTTGGGAATACTTCTACACATTTTCTATCCAAAACCTAAGCAAAAAGGAGCATAAGATAGGCTAAAATCCCTAGTTATCAAGGACTTCCTCGATCACAGAGCATATATATCTTGAATCGCCTTTGCCCTGGTCCTGTTTGCAAGAAGACTTCTCGACCTTGAAGTTATCTGCAATTGAGCATCCCCCGGGGACAAACGTCGACAAAGGAGGCTTGGAGGTTGGTTCGTTAGCAGCCACATCGAAGCTGTTTCGAAGGCAACTACCTCATGGTTTACCGATTCAGTATCAGTAGAAGGTTGAGAAGATGAAGAGGCAACTTATTGAGGAACGACTTTCGATGTTTTGCCATTGTCATCTGGGGGATGTTTGAAAATTTGAGAAATAAACACGAAGTTTTGGAAAAATGGGTTTTGAAGATGAAGAACAGGGTATGAAGATTTGAAGAAATTTTGGGTAGAAATCTTGAGATTGCTATGAAGATTGAAGAACGGGGATGAAGATATGAAGATTTGAGGAAGGTTTTGACAATGGTTGGAAGGTTTGAAGATAGCGGTTTGATCAGAAAGTAGAAAAAGGACAAAGGAATGAGGCTTTTATAAGGAAACAGCTGATGCTTCGCATTCGGAGGCTACCTGTCGGTAAGCAACACGTGTCCTGAACCAAAACAATATGATTGGTGGGACGTTTTGGTTCCTCGTTGTAACGTGCGAAGGAAGGAACCGGAGTCATCTGTCAGTTCCCATCGTTTCGGCAAGCCTACTCTTTGAGAAACGAGGGGACTATCTTAATACGGGTAAAACCGAGCTCGCTGCATGACTCGACTTCCCGGTGAACCAAATGAAGCAGGAACATGACCGTAATGTATCGAAGTCGGAGCGAAGAACCCCTCGTATTAAGGCTCGGGCAAAACACCTGCCCTCGAGGATATGGGGACCATATCCTCGAGGTCTGATTTGAGGATTGAGATTTCGGAGAATATTACCAAGCAGCTGCACACGACTAACAAAGGGTCGTGATGTCCGTGCCTAACCGGATATTACAGCGTGAATCTCGGCTCGTATCGGCATAAAATCAGTCATTGGCGGAACGGAAGATTTTTACCTTTTTTAGAATTGTACATAGGATAAAATTCTCTACTATATAAAGGGGAAAGCTTATTATTCATGGGACACATTGTAACATGCATATCAAGGCAATATACTCTTATTCTTTCTGTTATTCAAATTTTTTACTTTGGTTCATCAGTTCTTTATTAGTGCGAACCCGAGGTTGAAGGTAGGCACTTCATTAAGTTGTTATTGAGTCCGGGATCACTCTCCTTATCGGTTGATAATTTATTACGTCTTGCATCTGCTTAATCTAACGCAATTTATTATTTGTACTGAATTAATTCGCATATCCTTAAAATCGCATATAAATTTAATTATTATCCGTTTTTTAGGGTAAACAGTCAATATTATCAACTATATCTCTAACAAAATAAACAACATACAAGTATTGGTGGCTTTGATAAGTTATAGCATGAATGCCAATTGTAAACATTAATGGAGGCAGCGAGCAACACCTTGTGCTGAGGTAATAAAGGCACCTTTCGTCTTGCAATATCAAGCCTTATGCAAATCAAATTAAGTGATCTACTTGATTTCGATGTCCCAAACTTTAGTTTTCACGTATCTAAATATTAGTGTTAATGTAGAACTTAAATTAAGGTGTAGTATTTTCACTTGTGTCCTCTTCTTTATGATTTCTTGTGAAAATTAATGCAAATAATCAAGGGTATAAAAATTGATTAACCTTTTAATGATATGTTTGTTGTTAGATATTCAGCGTTCTAATATTCGTGCTTTTATAATAATTATAAAATATCGATAAATATAGATGATAGATAGATGTATTCTCGATTTAATTTATAGTTCATTAGATTAATTTGTTTGAATTAATGTAAATTCAAATACAGTCAAACCTCTCTATAACTGCTTTGTTTGCTTCGATTTCTAGCTTTTATAAATAGTTGTTATACATCTATAATATCATTTGACTTTTTTAAATAGTATTTGATTGTTATAGACAAAATTATCATAAAAATTATTTTTTTCCTATTTAAATTTTACATATAAAAGACAAAATCATCTGTGTTTGACATGATGCTATCTTTATTTTTTAAGGAATAACTTGATGTTTAGATCCCGTATGATATGAATTATTCTAATCAAGGAATCAAATCCCTTACATAAATACTTTAATATGCTGCAAGAAATATTGCATCCAACAAAAGACTTAAATTTTAGTGAGTATTTCTTGAAATCATAAACTTATGCACGATGAGAACAGAAAAGATATGTGCAGATCTTCAAATATTAGAAATTATGCATAATGAAAATTTTTGTGCACTAGAACGAAAGTTTGCTTGCATATCTTTTAATAAAATTAATTGAAATCTTTAATTACTAACATAATATTTTTATGAAAAATTGGTGCATTATAGTTTCAAAATATTTGGTAAAAAATTCTAGACTTATTGTTGGTAGTTATAGAAAGATAATTTTACAAAGAGTGTATTGTTATAAAGATGAATATTATTATTACAGGTAGAAGTTGTTACACAGAGGTAAAATATATAGAAAATTAATTCCAAAAATAATTAGCTTTTATAGCAAAATATTATTATATGAATATTGTTATAAAGAAATCTGACTGCAAATATTTTCCATGTAAAATTTAGAGATCGCAGAAGTATAAATTATTGATGCTTATACTGCTTAGAGATCTAGTTACTTGTGGAGCCCAATATTTTATAGGAAGAATTTTGAAAGGTGGAGAATAAAAGACAAAAAGAAAAAAAAAAAAGGAAAGTAGAAACTAAAATTACGCCAGTTTTACCAAACTGGGATGGTAATTATGGCAACTTAGGCGTAATTTTACCTAACTAGGATGGTAATTATGGCAACTCGGTATATGACTTCTGTCTCTACTATGAAACCTAAGAGACCCAATTAGAATAGGAAGCTTATGCAGTAGAAACTTATCTACACTACATGTATTAATTAACTATAGTTTAGTTCTCCATGTATTAATTAACTAT